ACTTCCATTAGCCTTACACTTCACCGTAAACACTCATTTATAACCAATTGTTCTTTGGTCTTTGGGCAACTCTACAACTTCCCATGTCCTATTTTTCGCTAGAGCACGCATCTCCTTTATTACTCGTCATTTTCATTTTGGATCATCAAGTGCTTCTTGAATTTTTCTCGGAACAAACAAATTAGAGATTTTTTATGTAAATGCCCTATGATCGTAAGATAGTTTATCATATGAGAGATATTTTACAATAGGATGCCAAGTACAAGACCAGGTGTCTTTTCTAAGTGTTATCGAATGTCAAGATTACAGCAAGTATCAAGAACAGGAACATTATTAGATAATTAAGGGTTTAGAGTACCTTGCATGTCAACGGGCTCATCATTCGGGATGTCCGATTGATTTTGTGCCTTTGGAATAGTAGACTCTCTACCATTTTGATGATCCTTTCTCCTTGTATAAACTCTAAACTCAAGTTCTTATCCTTTAGGATCATCTAGTAGTATTTCTCCTCCCGTTGAATTTTTAACATTTTTTTGGCTTTATAATATTAGGAACGACTGACTTTTGGAGATTTTCATGAGAATCTATAGTTTTAGGCAACGAAGTAGGATTCACTTCCTAGAAATTTTCTCCACTTTGTTTCTCCCCAGAAGAAAATTTTCCTTAAAAAAAGGTTGATGTTCAAGGAAAGAGACATCCATGTGACAAAGATTTTTTGAGTGCTAGGATTAAAACATTTGTACCCTTGTTTGTTTAGGGCATAGCCTATAAAGACACATTTTTCCACCTTAGGCTCTAGTTTGGACCATCCACTAGTAGGTAAATGGATGCAAGTAGTGCTAACAAAAACTCTTAGTTGTAAATCGAAAAAGATCCGAGCTTTAGGAAAAAAAATTTTAAAGCACTCAAAGGGTGTACTATAATAGGCATCTTATTTATCAAATAGGATGCTCGTTAAAATAGCTTCTCCTTAGAGAAATTTGTAAACATTTTTAGAAAACATAATGAAACGAGACACTTCGAGCAAATATTTGTTTTTCCTTTCAATAATCCCATTTTGCTGAGAGATATCAATACAAGTAGATTGATGTTGAATGCCCTTAGGTTTTAAAAAATAACCAAGAATCTCATTAAAATATTCAGTCCCATTATTAGTGTGGAGAATGCCAATTTTTTATTGACATTGGTTTTCAATCATTGTATAAAAATTTTTAGATAAGGTTTCAACTTATGATTTTTCAATTATCAAGTAAACCCAACACAAACAAGTATAATTATCAATAAATGTCGAAACCATTTTTTTTAAAAAAATCATGCTAATCCGCGAAGGACCTCAAACATCATTATGGATAAGATAAAACAATTTTGAAGGTTTATAAAGTTGTGAGGGATAAATGGATTTATGACTTTTTGACCAAATACAACTTTCACAATGAAATTTTAAACAATCCAATCATCGAAGTAACATAGGAAAAAGTTTTTTCAAATACAAAAAACTAGGATGTCCTAACCTATAGTGCTAAAGCATAATTTGATCCTTAATAGAAAGAGAACTAATACTACTTAAGCCCCGAGATTTTTCACCCTTATAATCTTCATCATCAAAATAGTAGAGACTATCTATCATCCCGATAAGAACACACTCTAGAACGGAAATGAAACTAAGGAAAAATAACAAATATATGAAGTTCACCAAAAATGGGAGAAAAAGTAATTCTTATCAATGCAATATTCCTCACAGAATATCGGTTACGTGGGTTAATACTATGGTAGCTATTCTAGAGGCTACCTCTCTCCTATTACCCCTCTAATATAAAAGATAACCAATCGTACCCCATGCTTTTTCCCTCCTACCTATATATAAGCTAGGCCGACTAACAAACTAGCCGAGTCAGCAATACAACCTACGTAAACAAACAACACGGACAAGCAAAAGAGAAAAGCCGATAACAAACTATCAATTTTGTCAATTTGATCTAGCTCGTTGGAACCCTCTATGCCTCTTTCGAACGTAATGAAACTTTATTGAAGGCCTATTGTCACTAGGTCCATCAATACCCCTTTTAACACTCACCTTGTCCCCAAGGTGGAAGGTAGGAAACAACGCTTGAATCAAAGGTAGCGGCTCCTATGTTGCTTTAAAATTCGGAAGTGACCTCCACTTGATTAGCGTTCTATCCCCTCGGGTGACTCTCTCACATCCGAACCTCCTCCGGTTCAACCACCTAATCCATATTAGCATGGAAAACAGGAGGCAAAGGTTATACTCCGGTAGTATCTCCAATGGCCTTCTTCAATTGAGAGACATGGAAGACCGGATGAATGGAGGTGGAATGTGGTAATGTCGGCTTATACACAACTTTCCTCACCCTTTGCTCAATGGAATAAGGCCCAAATTACCTTGGGGAAAGCTTCTTATTGGGATAAAAAACCAAGGAATTTTATCTATAGGGCTTAAGTTTCAAATAGACCAAGTCACCCACCTCAAATTCCACATCCCGTCCGTGCAAATTAGCAACCTTCTTCATTCGATTATGAGCAACGATCGGTTGTTCTTTCAATTCGAAAGCATCGGGTCTCGTGCTTGCAACATTTCATCAATAGTTGAGTTAGTGGTGCTCGTTGTAGGCATATCATACTAATGGTGGAGGGTCTCTCCCATATAGCACCTTGAAAGGGGTAGTTTTAATATACGTGTGGAAGGAGGTGTTATAGCAAAATTCAACCCAAAAAATCCATCGAGACTATTGTCGTGGTCGTTGGCTAGCAAAACACCACGGATAAGTTTCAAGGCGACGATTGACAACCTCACTCGGCCATCGATTTAAGGATGGTAAGCGATACTTCTATGTAAATGGGTGTGTTGCAAACAAAACAATTTAGTCTAGAAGTTGCTCGAGAAAGATACGATCCTTATCCGTCATGATACTTCGAGGGAACCTATGCAACTTCACCACTTGAGCCATGAACTCTTCGAAGCAACTACCTTTGCTGTGAATGGATGTTTCGGTAATATGAAGTGAGAGTATTTGTCGAGATGGTCCACCACCACCAATAGGGAATCATAACCATAGGATTTGGGAAGACCCTCAATGAAATCCATGATAATGTCATCCCACACAGCTTGCGGTATCGGTAGAGGCTACAAAAGTCCGACAAGGCACAAGGTCTCATACTTGTGTCTGTTGGCGAATCGGACATTCCGCCATGAATTTCTTAACATCCGCCCATATTCCTTCCCAAGTAGAGTTCATTGGAAACACGCCGATAAGTTCGAAGAAATCCTCCGTGCCCTCCCATAGGACTCGTTGTGAAATTCTTCCAAGAACTAGGAAATAAATTGAGAGGTTCGAGGTATGGCCAGCTTGCCACGATAAAACAATATGTCATGATCAAGGCTCCACCCGGGTTTAGATGTCGAGTCAAGTTCCGGGGCCCGGATAATGGACTAAAGTCGTTGGTCTTATTGAATGTCCCGATGCAACAAACCCCAATCAACCCGAAGGGACCGAAACAACTAGTAATGCTTGTTGGAGAGGAATTCTAGATAGGGCATCGGTTGCTTTGTTCTCTAGGTCGGATCGATATTGCATCTCAAAATCATAACCCATTAATTTTGTCATCCATCGTTGGTATTCACTAGTAACCATGCGTTGTTCGAGTAGGTAACGGAGGGACTTCGATCTATTCTCACAATAAAATGACGCCTAGCGAGATAATGCCTCCATTTTTACACCGCCATCACAATTGCCATGAGTTCTTGCTCATAGACGGACTTGAACCGTGCTCTACCCATCAAGGCTCGACTAAAGAAATCTATGGTCCGATGCTCCCGAGATAATACCGCTCCCAACCCAAAACCAAAAGCATCGGTCTCAACCATAAATGATTCGATGAAATCGAGTAGAGCCGGGATAGACACCTTCTTCATGGCTTCCTTCAAAACCTTCACTGCTAGAGTTACTTTATCCGTCCAGTCGAAGGAGTCTTTTTTTAATAGCCGAGTTAGAGGTGCCGCGAGCTTCCTATAATTACGGACGAACCTCCTATAATATCCATCAATCCAAGGAAACCCCTCAACTCCTTTGGGTTTCTAGGCAACGACCAAGCATCCATCGCTTTCACGTTTTCTAGATCCGTCGCCACGCCTTTCTCCGAGATGAGATAACCTAAATATTCAAGTTCATGTTGGCGTAAACAACACTTCTTGCCATTGGCAATCAATTTATGAGCTCGAAACGAGGTCGAACCTCTTTCAAATGCAATACATGTGCTTCTAAAGAGGGGCTATAAATGAGTATATCATCAAAACATACCAACACATACCGATAAAGAAGTTGTTTGAAGACAGGTGTTTATCAAGGCTTGAAAGGTTGTTGGGGCGTTCGTTAAACCGAACGGTATCACCAAGAATTCGTAATGGCCCTCGTGGGTTCGAAAGGTTGTTTTGTGTACATCCTCGGGTTGAACTCGAATCCGATGCTAACTCGACTTCGGATCGAGTTTAGTGAACACTTTTGCCCCATGAAGCTCGTCCAACAACTCATCAATGTTCTCAATCTCATTCTTTCTTACCAACAAAACAAGATTGGAAAAAGGGCTAACACTAGGCTCGATTATGCCCACGATCGGCATCTCCGTCACTAACTTCTCAATCTCATTCTTTTGGATGTAGGGATATCAATACGGCCTTACATTGATCGGTTCGGACCCTTCCTTCGATACTATAGCGTGTCATGCCCTCGAATAGGTGGTAGTTCTATAGGTGTGACAAAAACATCAAGGAATTCATTCAACACTTCCCGCACTTCGAGTACCTCGATCCTTGTGTTATTAGTGTCACCGGCCACTAAATGATAGAGTTCCAACATAATGCCTTCTTTCTCTTGCTGTAGCTCCTTTATCATAGTTTTCAATGATACCAACACCTTTTTTAAGCTCGGGTCTCCCTTTAATACCACATTCCGTTCTCCCATTTCGAATGTCATTATGAACTTCTTCTAATCATCCTTTGTCTCCCCTAAAATGGAATGCCACTTCAATCCCAAGATAACATCCGTATTGCCCAACGAGTAATGGAAAAAAGTCTTCTATAACCGTGAGGCTCTACAACTGGAGGATAACGCCCTTACAAACCCCTATTCCCTTAAGCTCGCCGCCTCGTCCCAATCATAACCCCATACCGGTTAGTGTCTTGCACGGACAGTCGGAGCATCTTCACCAAGTTGGTTGAAATGAAATTGTGGGTAGCTCCACAATCAATTAATACCACAACGTCTAACCCGTGGATCTCTCCCTTAAGCTTGAGAGTACATGGTTCGGACGGACCCATGACGAGATTAAGAGATAACTCCACTCCCCTAGTGAATCTCCATCTCCCATTGGTTCAAAATTTCCTTCGGCTTGACTCGCCTCATCACTTTCACTAACCGAGTAAGACATGCAGCTCCCTTTGCTTACACCGGTGGCCCGCATGCCACTTCTCATCACACTTATAGCATAACCCTTGCTCTCTCCTTGATGCAGCCTTCGTCGTTGTTAATCTTCGAAATCGGGGTGTGAATGGGGTAGTTATGTTTAGTCCGGCATCGGGTTTCGATGAGAAAAGGTTGTTTGGGTGGGTAGTGAGTGGGCTGGATGATTTTGGAATTGGGCTTGGCTATTGGTGAATGGGTTATAAGGCTTGGTTGGGGTCTAGGAGATGGTCTTAGTGTCATATTTAAATTGGAATGAAGGGGGCTCTTTGGGTGCTTTGGTGTGTTAGGTTGGGTTAAGGATCTAGTTCTCTTGCTCGATTCGGCTAGCTGCTTCAATGTTCCCGGATTCAACACCATTAACTCGGCTTTTCTCATTGAGTCCATTAACAAAGACAGCTCGCCATTGTCTCGTCATCCACCTTCCCCACCGAAGTCGCTAAATATTCAAGCCGAGCTCTACTCGACCACTAAACCATACCGTTGTACTCGTGAAGAATTGGTTTAGTAGGGAGCCCTCTCGTAACCCCGCAACTCGTTATAGCACTCGGGATTTCAATGCATCCCACGTAGTAAAGACCGTGCTCCTCTCTTTGAATCGAAGCCGGGCCCGAGCCTCGCCTTCAAAACACACCCTAACAGACTTCGAGCTTCTTTGCCTCGGATAGCTTATTAATGGAAAAATAACGCTCCGTTCGAAAAATCCATGAATCAACTCCCTCTTCATTAAAAATCAGCAACTCTAACTTCCTAGGATACAGGTCTCTCTTGAGCACTCTCTCGGCTACCTCCACCCTTATAGTTACCTCATCCTCGTGGTCCGTCGCCATAGAGGCTCTAGATCTAGCGATGCTCGGATTCCGCAAGGTGACTCGGGTTCATCGCCCGATGTTTCAGCGAAAGTCCGGAGGCTATGTTGTGTTTCTTTCATTTGTTGCATCATCAAATTCATGTTACTACCGATCCGTTCCAACCGCCCCTCAATACCGGGAATCTTCTTCACGTCGGATTCAAGTTTGTCTAACCTATTCTCCATTCTTGTTTTAGGCATAACCCACAGCAGGCTAGGGGCTCGATACCAAATTGATAAGAACACACTCTAGAACATAAATGAAACTAAGGAAAAATAACAAATATATGAAGTTTACCGAAATGGGAGAAAAAGTAATTCTTATCAATGTAATATTCCTTACGGAATATTGGTTACAAGGGTTAATACCATGGTAGCTATTCTAGAGGCTACCTCTCTCCTATTACCCCTTTAATATAAAAGATAACCAATCGTACCCCATGCTTTTCCCCTCCTACCTATATATAAGCTAGGCTAGCTAACAAACTAGCCAAGTCAGCAATACAACTCCGCGAAACAAACAACACAGTACAAGCAAAAGAGACAAATTGATAACAAACTATCAATTTTGTTAATTTGATCCAGCTCATTAGAACCCTCTATGCCTCTTTCGAACGTAATGAAACTTTATTGGAGGCTCGTTGTCACTAGGTTCATCATATCCTAGCACTACTAATTATCCTCCTCGAACTCTAGTTTTGAAACACATAATAAGAGTAAAAAAAGTAACTCAATAGTTAGAATATCTAGACAATTTTCTAACATATAAGAGATTACAAGTAAGTTTAGGCATATGGAGAACATGTTTAAGGGATAAGGTATTAGATAAAGTTACCAAACCTTTACCAAGTAATATGAGAATAAGGTCCATCTACTATATGAAGTTTTTCATAACCTGAATAAGGGTTATAAGTATAAAAAAAATTTGAAAGACTTGTCATATGATCGAAGCTCCCGAATCAATGATCTAAGGAGTAGAAAAAGAATGACATGCTAGTGGTACCGGGATTACTACCCGAATGTGCCAAAAAAGCATTAGGTGCACCCAACAATCTAGAATTAGATTTTAGCAGTTTAGGATATGATTCAATTGCTTTTTACTAAAAAGAGCAATCTCGGCTTCATGAGTAGAGGCCGACTAACCCCTACTCTCATTTTTTCCTTTCCAATTTGCTAGTTTTCCATGTAACTTCTAGCAGGTTTCACATGTGTGTTTTGGTTTATTGTAATAATCACACCACGGATGAGATTTTTCCTCTAATTTTCCCCGAACCATTCATCTAACATAAGCCTCTGCAGTAAGTGGTAGAATTATCTACTATTTTGTTAGGTTTTTTCTTCCCTAACATCATAAGTTTATGTTTTTTTCCCTTCAAACTTCGGAAAACACTTCTCCAATAGAGGGAAGTGGTTGTCTACCAATAATTATGCCCCTAAGTTTATTAAACTCAACAATTAGTACAATAAGAAACTTAAAAATATGATTATCCTCACTTTTTTCTTATAGTAGTGGTAATCTTCCGATGATTTGACTCATAATCATCACTAAATAAATCTAAATCTTGCCACATATATTTCAAAGAATTAAAGTATTTGGTAATACTTTCCTTACCTTAATGGATTTCTTTAAGTTTTAGTGCTAACTCAAACACTTAAGACCGATTGTCCACGTCTAAATACATAAGATTAATATTATCCCATAGCTTTCTTAGCAAGTGTGGTAATGCATATAATTGGAGTTGATTTCCTCTATAGAATTCACCAACCAATTCATTACCATAGAATTTTTAGTATCCTAAATGGAGTAACCTGGATCCTTTAGGGTAGTTTCCTTCTTTTCTCTTGTCAAGTCGACAATTTTCCTTCTCGTGTGAATATAAATTTGTATTGATTGAGACTAATACAAAAAAAAATTCTCCATTAAGCCGTATGGTTATAATCTAGATCAAATAGGAATCAAGTAGGTAGACGAGGGGTATTGGGTTTTTTTATGGGGTTGTGAATTTCGGGTGAGTTAGGTTGAGATTCTAATACAAAATCAAACATGGTGAAAGAAGATGTAGGGTGGACGGATGACTCTAGGGACTAGGATAGCTAGGGTATTTTCCGGAATGGACGGGTCCGGAATTCGACTAGCATTAGGTTTTTTGCCTAGTGCTCGATATCATGTGGAAAATATTTTGTCGTGTTTATTTCTTCTATTTAGATTACTATATATATATATATAGGAATACAAAGGTGTTTATACTAGGAAAGAATTATATAGAAATCAAATCTCCTAATTTGTCTTCTAATTTCTCTTCCAAATCTATTAGGAACAGATTTTCTCCTAATTAGCAACCCCTCGATCTGGTTGCCACCGATTTCGCCTTCTCAACGGATACAAATAACATATGATAATCCCTCAATACATCATGTTTATCTAGAAATGATAATGCTAGGGATTTTCAGTAGTAAATAGACTTTTTTCCATTTACTTCCATTCGGGAAGGTAGCAAGCAAATTAATATGGGAACAAAAGCTTCCAAGTGCAAGTACATACATACATAGAGACTTTTAACTTCTTTGATGAACTAAATCCAGCTTTAAGTTTCTTATTTCTTTCAAGCGAAGTGTCTATAAGGTCGGAAAACAATATCCTTGCCTATAAGGTTATAAAGATTATATCGGTGTAACTATATAGAAGCACTAATATGATGTAAATGAAGGAGTACATGAGCCATCAGTTTTACTTCAAATGTAACAAAAACTACAATGTTAATAGAATTAACTTCTAGTATGCCACACTAATCAAAGCAACATCAACTATTCATAGTTTACTTCACTTTCACACCTCGATGCCCTTTATAGCAAGACTATCATTGCCGTGGGTAGATCTTTCAAAAAGGTTCCGGTGACGGCATTTGGATAGAATCCCTAATCAGCCATTTCATGGATAAGTTACACTACCATAGATGTATCCTTGTTCGGGAGACATCCTTAGAGAATGACATTATAAGAGCAATTTTCCGGTGTGTAGCCATCCTCTTCCATTTTTCTAAACAGTTTTCAAGTTTCAATTAGTGATCCATCTTTGCATAGGCCATCAATTAATGCCATGTAGGTGTGACCTCTTCAACATTAAGTCAAGAAAATAGTTCCTTTGTATCTTTAACTTTTCTAGATTTGCACATTGCATTAATAAGGATGGTGTGGACTACCAAGTCGGGATTGGCAAGATGCCTTTGTATCTCTTGAAATAATACCAATTTCTCATCAAGTTTCCCTCATTTATAGATTCCATCAAACAAATTTGAGTAAGTTAATATATTAGATGTATGACCACCAAGCACACATCGTCTTAAAAAGTGCTTGTGCATCCTAAGGTCTCGACAAGTTGACACAAGGTTTTTATCGGTGTTATAAGCAATTACATTAGGCACCAAACCTCTATAAGACATTTCATGAAGAAGTTTCATAGCCTAATCTATTTTTCCAACCTTGCAATACCCATTGATGAAGATACTCGTAAATATAAATACTTTTTTCTAACCTCATCAATTTTCCCTTGTGAACAATAAGCACCCATCAAAAAATTACAACAACATCCGCAACATAACCTATATGTCTCATTTCCTTAAGCAACCCGACAACCACCTCGATTTTCCTAATCCTACAGATCTTATTTATTAAGGTAGTAAATGTTATATTATTAGGCTTAAGACCACATTTAAGGATCTTTCTAAAAAAAAGAACCCATAATCTAAAAGATGTAAGATGCTAAGAGTATAGACATTATGTTTGGTTCCTCTAAATTCTATTTCTTTGAATAAAGAAACAATTGTCTCATATTGTTTCACCCTCATAATCACGGATAATATCTTATTAAATTTGCTATAGAAGGCCGAGGATTCGCCCTCACAATCAGCGGATAATATCTTATTAAATTTGTTAATGAAGGCCGAGGATTCGTATCAAGCATGCAATCAAATGAAGCTAAAGCTATATCAATGTTGCTAAAGGAGCCCTTACTATTGATACCGAAAGTAGAAAGGTCAAAAGAAGAAAAGAAGCCCATACCCAATTGGGTTTGAAGAAGGAATTTTGAATCTTTTATAAGCAAAACACTTGCTTAGGTTATCTTCCTCGCCATCATCTTTCTTTACTCAACAAAATCTCTTGGTTCCTTTTTTTCTTTGGTGATAGATGAAGGGTTTGCAAGTAAAGAAAAAGACAATAAAAGGTTTAGTGTCTCAAAGTTTAAAACCGCCTTTAATATATTACTATTAGATAGATTCTAATTTATCATTATAGTACAAAGTTTTTATGAATTCATCAAAAATTAAGTATATGATTGCACAAGATATAAAATTTGATAAAATTGTTCTTGTTTCGTGCTTACGCACGCGCGCGCGTGCGCGCACACACACACACACACACACACACACATATATATATATATGAAAATTAATTTATGATGAATTAGTTAAAGTTTTTTGATAAAAAGAATAGATTAGAAATCACCATAAATATTAGAGACCTAATAGAAATGTTTTTTTTTTTAATTTTAAAACATATTGTAAATTTGGCTTATTATATAAGAATATAAGTAAGGGTATCAACCCAAAAAATTACTCCCAAACTATCCGAGCTATGACAATTTAAGGTTTTTGATATCAATTAAGCTTATTTGGAACACACACTATTAAATACAAACATAATCCTTATTCATCTCTAATGGTCATTTAAGCATTCTATATATTTTTTTAATTAATGATAAAAATCACTCAAAACTATTGGAGTCATGATAATTTAAGGCTTTGACCATCAACTTTGAGTTATTTAGATCCTAAATTATTATTCTTGAAGCTAATATTATCTTTTCTTTGTTATTTTTTACTATCAAAGCGTTGACTATTAACTTCAATGCTATAACAATATTATTTTAAACATTTTAGTTTTTTTCTTCCAAAAAAAATAATTTCGAAAAAATATACTAATGATTAATTCAGATGATATGTCATCTTAATATTTGAAGACGTATCATTTTGAAACACTATTAGATCGATTGAATTAATTGAATTGAACAGATAGAGGCCACAATCAATCGATTTCAATTGAATTACTTGATGTTTTCTTGTTGGAATTATCTCTCTCGATCTTTTGTCTTCTCTTGATATATTATCTATTTTGAATTTATCATTTAA